TGAATGTTGCTTCTTCCTTTTCCGAATTCTTGTTTATTTATATGTAGCTTATTTTCTAATCAGAAACTCTTTTATAGATCTTGGAAAGGAACAACAGTGTTTTCACTTGGCAAAAACCTAAACCCAGCGCTATGGTTCATGAACTCTTTCCACTTCAAATTTTGTCCCTGAGCTCCTTCTACCCTCTTCTCTGAGGGGAGAGAAAGAACATTCATCTGCTTTTTTGAACTTTAAAAACAGCAGCAAATGATGTTCCTTCTGTAGACTAAGGATGAGGCTTTTTAGCTTCCCTTTGAAACAAAGTCCTGAATATAGCTATGGAAGCACAGCTGCTAAGTACTTATCATGGCAAGAATGGTAACAGCAGCAACGCTGGACACATTATAATTAGACCAGAACTAAATGACCTTGGCTAACTGGGAATGGAATGTTGAGTGCTTTCAACAAATTGAAAAAGTGGCTGATTTAATCACATATGTTTTAGCAATTAATCAATTACATATGCATAAATGTGATGAATAAAAACATTATTTCTGAAGAAGAAGAAGAAGTTTAGAGGATACACACAGTCACTGCAGCAGCAGTAATCTTAGCACAGGAAATCCCTTCTCTGCTGCACAAAAGAAGGAATCTCTCAATATGGCACCTATCAACTGTGGTTTGTGTGAATACTTATATTAAAAATGATTATTTAAGAAAATCTGCTGTCTAAAAATTGGGGGATACTTTTAAATCAAGCACAAGCCTAGAAACTTGTCTGACCAATTAATTCATTAAATTTGAGGTATTATTTTTTCTCAACATAATTTAAAGATGCCTAAAGAAATACGTTATATACATACATATACACACAGGCAATCCCCAAGTTACGAATGTCCGAGTTATGAACAATCTGTACTTATGAACAAACTGCTGTAAAGCCTATCAATTTAAAAATGCTGCAGGAAATCATCACCACAGAGAGAGAGGAAGTGAAGGGGGACAAAAGGAAGGCTTAAAAGCATCACCATGGAGAAAGAGGAAGTAAAAGGGTAGAGAGGGAGGCCTCCAAAGCATGCCTTGTGCCCCAGCCATCCAGAGAGGGAAATCTCTCTGACATTTCCTTCATGCAAAGAATAGGCACTGTTGAGTTTAAGTATACCTATTAAAAGCAGAAAATCCAAATGCTTTGCTTAGTGCTATTTAATTCAACCTTTACCCAAGCCTTAGAGAAAGCTCCGGTTTGCAGAATGGCAAAATATTACAGCTTAATAGCGTTTCTGGGATAATTCACCCAATGGAAATGGCTTTTGGCAATGCTGCCCAGAATAACGTAGTTCAGGTGTGCTTGATGATAGAGATGGATAAGCATACACATGCAAACCTAAATACTGTTTCTTGTTATATACCAAAGGAGAAAGCTTGGAAGAAAAACAGGAAGAATTAGAAAATGATCCCAAACTGATGCCAGAAGAAGAATTACCCTGGCTAGCTTTAGAAGTATGATTCAGATCAGAATTGGAAGAAAATGAAAGGGCATTTAAAGATGCTGAGCGAGAGTTGGAAGACAAAGGAGCCAAGTTGGGTACATTCAACTGAGTAATTTGTGGAGAAAGATCCAAAGGAGGAACAAGGAGCTGATCCATGCTACGTCCTATTCTTTTATGCTGCTTCTGTGCTTGATGGTTCCTAGTAGGAAGCTGGCTTTGTTCTAGGACACTCTCCAAAGATGCATGATGCTTCTTCCAATCAGTCTGCATTTTTGCAGATCTCAAGAGGCAGGCTGGGCTAGAAGCACTTAAATCCAGTTCAAGGTGTGTTGTGGAAATATTGTTTAGGGATGGCGCACTTCTCGAAGGACTAAGGACATTTGGGTATAAATGTGAGGAAAGGTACTTCCTTCTCTTGTCTCCATTGAATTCTTGGAAGTTCATTTTGACTTTACGGGGAGGCAATGGTGGTTTGTCACGTTGTGGCAGATGAGGAGAAGACAAAGACTTGATCTCCAATCTTGTTTGCCTATCAGGACTGCACCCTTGTGACCGAGAACCTTTGGGGGATTTCACATTGTCCTTTTGCCATCGCTCTTGAAAGCCAAATCTAGTTTCAGAGGATACCCACATAGGTATTTTCTTTGGCCCTTCTTGTGGACTCGGCATGGAAATCTTAATTACAGGCAATATTTTCCGTTGAGTAGAGGTCAACAAATCCCTTTCATGATGGTCTAATGCTTGTGGGTGTTGTTTACCATGAGGTAATTGAATATTAGAAAAGGGTTTAGAGTTGAATTGTGGAGCTGCACCTTTGTCAGTAATGAAGGGCACCAGTTGTTTGGGAATGGAACTTTGTTTCGGTTTAGCTGGAATAACAGGAAGGTTACGTACCTGGGGAAGCAGGATTACAGAAATTAAAACACACTTTTTAGTTATGCCATGGTATGTTGTTGTCAGTGCTCTCCATTGTGCTTAGTTTACAATAAGAAAAACATCAGGTCTCAAATCTGCTAGAAAGCCCTGCTTCCAGTTCATGGATACCTGGAAGCTAGCTGTTCTGGTCCCTAGATGAGAAACTGACACTCTTCACATGCCCATAATTATGATTATTCAGCAAGCCTGACTGTGCAAAGTCTAACTGCATCAGACCAAAGATTTGTCAAGTTCAGTATCCCATTGCCAATAATGGTTCACCAAATGCTTCTAGGATGTGCACAATAAGAACATAAAAGCAATACCCCTCTCCTGCTGAGACACCCAACCTTGCAACTGGCATTCAGAGGTAGAAAAAAACCAACTGTGAACATGGACTTTACTTATTATAAACCTACCCTCCATGCATTTTCCTAATCCCCCTTTTAAGTCATCTCAATAGCCATCTTGTATTGTAACTCATGAAGCTAATTATGCACTGCATGAAAATATGCTTCTTTTGTTTGTCCTATTGCCTATCAAATTACATTGGGAGATGCAGAATTCTAATGGTATGAGCGCGTTTAAAAATTCCCTCTATCCTCTAAGACAGGCTCCCCAGTCTGGTATCCCCCAATGTGTTGGGACTACAACTTTCATAATCCCCCAGCCAGCTAAACTGTTCTGTCACATACCAAGGGCTACTTTAAGTTATTCATAATTTTATGAATATCTCTCATCTCTTTGCTTAGCTGCCTTTTCTTCTAAACCAAAAGCCCCCAATATCTCAAGCCTGTTTTCATAAGGAAATTGCTCCAACACCAGGAGCAAGCGGTTGCCATTTCCTGTATCATTTACAGTGAACTGGCATCATGTTGAAATGGTGGCAATTAGATTTGTACAGGATATTCATAATGGGGGCACACTACTGACCTTAAGTTGCACACTGAGAGGGACTTGACTCTCAGATTACTGTTCAAATCGCCTTCACATGAGGCCTAGCATATTTTTTTTACACTTTTGAAAAGGCAAAGTAGAGGATGTGTGTTGACCATGATCACACAATCTTTTAAAAATGGAAAGCCACCCTTAATGTAACTTTAAATGGGAAATATGCCCATAAACACACCCATGTGTTGATGCTCAGATTGCTTTTTAAAATATGTTGCTTCAAACTTTACTGGGTAAACTGTGTTGTGCGTGCCAAGTGCCTGTTCACTATTCCCCATGTAGCTCAAGCAGGTTTTAACAAACAGCCACAGGGTACCTACGCCTACCTAGTGATGTGACACCATTTCAAGAATGTATTCTTGGTGTAAACAAATCTGAGGACCGTATGGGTCAAAGTGTAGCACAGGTCTTCCCTAAGTAATTTAGCTAAATACTATTTTAAACAAACAAAACTGAATTCCCACTCCCCACTTCTGGGAAGGAGCTTTTATTTTTCCCCCCTAGCTTTACAAGAATGAAACTGACCAGTACAGAAACTGCTTCATTTGGCTAGTCAATTTCTCTGCTCCATTTACTTACAGAAGTCAAGGGGAAGCTGCTTTTATAAGGAATAACAAAAAAGGCTTTTGACTTTGCAGTAAGGCTCTGCCTCCTTCTCCCTTGTATATAAACTGCTGTTCCTGGATCACAGCACCATTGAAAAACTGGTCCATAGCCTATGGAGCCATGCAATACAGGGAAAAGCTTGAGGAAACCCTCCAGCAGCATTTAATGTGCATCCTCACAGTTACAAGGGTTAGCAATATGCTTTTGGGAGAGGGAGAAAAAGAAAAGAGCACTGTTATTTCAGAAGCCGCCCCGAGGCTCATGCGAATGGGGTGGCATACAAGCACTCCAAATAAATACATACATACATACCTAGAGTCTACACTGTAAAATGTACTGCCCTGTCAAAATGTCACACATGCAAATGGCATATCTGTAACAGACCAGAAGCTTTGGAAGGGGCAGCAATTTCCATGCTCTACTGACATCTAAGAGCTTCTTTTAAATGGACAATTCCTTATTTCAGGGTGGCTGTGGGCATGCCAGTCCTCAATCAGCAGCTGGCACCACTGTAATTACAGCAGTGATGAGAGCAGTCCGTTCTTGACCTTGACCCATCCGCAGGGATCATCAGTAACAAATAAGTTGCAAAAACTAACTGGGACTGGTGTTCACGGATTTGCACTTTGTTCTTCCATGTCCCCGCTTCTGCCTCTTGCCTTACAAAGTTGACAAATAAGCAGCTGTCAAGACAATTACACGCAACAGGGTCCAAGGAGACGACAATCCAACCCATGAAGCATAATGTGCAATTGCAATGAAACGCTTCCATACAAAACTGTAGCCGATGAGACAATAGATAAAAAACTGTTGGAACAACACTGTGCCATCCAACAACTTACAGGTCATTTTGTCAAACCACATGCTCAGTGCAGGAATCTGACAACACAAGAGAGCAAATGCATGCAATACAGTTGAAAAGACACTACTGAATCATTGGCAAAAAAGGGAGAGAACTGTTTCTGGCACTGTGGAAAATAGGTGCAAACTGAGTTTCCTCCTTGCTCTCATTTTTTATCCACCTGAAGAGTAGGAAAAAGGAGAAGCAGCTGTCCCTACCTCTTTTGCCCAAGCTGGCTTCTCACTGGCATTCATCCCCTCCTTGTAATGATAAAGCGGCTTCTTCTCGGCTGGCCGTTGCTCTTGTCTCTGCTGCTGCTGCTGCTGCTGTAGGGAGACCAGGTAGTCCCTTTCCTGTTGCAACTGCCGCTGCAGCCTCTCTGCTTGCCGTTGCTCTTCTAGCTGCTTGCGCTTATATTCCTAGCAAGACACGCATGCCAGACACATATTAAGGGACAGCACGATCCAGTCAGGATGGCAATGGCATAAACACATTTATTATGCGAGCCCAAATATTAGGCATCCTAACCTTGGATCTTGTAGGAATTTGGGCAAGGGTCTCAATGTTTGTTTCTTGCTCAACCTGTTGCTTGGATGGAGCTGCTTTGAGGCAGCTGTGGCTCAAGAGGAAGTCCCATTAACTCCTTTCTGTTGCATTTGTCTGTGCACATTTGTCTTTACCTTGCATACCCCTATCCCAACTTACTTCATTATTTACTCTTCATTGCTTCTCAAGCTACATGTTCCACTAATGTCTTGACACAAAGTTACTCCTTTGGTGCTAATCCTGCAGGTATGCAGTTGTTGCCTGATCTCTTTTCAGGCTCAATTAAGTAAGCTTTAAGAAAAATACTCACAAAACTACAATCCCTTGTGTTCTGTGAGGAGGCTGTGGCAGTTAAAAACATGTGTAACCTAGATCACAAATCTGTTATTATTTGTAATCTATTACAGCCATCCAGAAAACATGCTAACGGGCAGGTTTCAAATACATCCGATGAATGAATGGGCGCCCTCAAAATTAATGTATCTGGAATGGGGTTGGTACCACACAGCAGTGGTAGCTACTTGTAGCTGACATGGGCACAGAGAAAAGCTTGAAAATCTGCACTTGACAAATGGCTGATTTCTTTATAAACCATTTTAGACTAATCATTTTGTTACATCAAAGGGATGATTTGCAATTTTTCAGTCTGGGGGGCCTAGAAGTACTTTCATCATACAGGGTTATGAAACTGGGTGACAGGAATAGCATTCTTTATACAAGAAAGGGCCTGCATAATGTGTTCCTATAGCTCATGGATCTACCAGGAAAAGGGAATAAGGCATGACGGCATTGATAGCACTGGAAAATATAATACTAATTAAAAAAAGAAAGAAAAGACAAACAATTCACATCCAAAATAACCAATATGATATAAATTTGGCTGAGGGGAGAGATAGTACAAGCACAGGAGTATATGTGAGGGGCATTTGGCAATAAAAAAATGTCAGCAGTATAAACAGCATGGAAAGGCAATGCAAAAACATTCCTGTCAGGAATGTAAAGTGAAACAGTCTAGAAATGAAATATGCCATCAGACCTCATAAAACCAAGCAGAGTTACAAGGAGCAAATACATTTTAGTTAGATTCTATTCCAACACACGCTGCCAGTAGGTTTCATTTAATAGCTCAGCAATAAACACAGCAGGCCTCAGAAGAAGCCTATTCCTGTCAGGAAAATGGAGAACATTCTAGAAGAAGGGCAAGCAAAGGAAGGTGTGTGCAGCAAAGGATGCTACATCAGGGAGTATTCTCATTATTGATCGAAAGTCAATAAAAACACAGTTGGCTGTCTTTACATTCTGGGAAGAAAACAAAGTTACAAGTTATTCCTTCTCCTGATAGGAGCCAGAGAGGATAGGGAGATCTACAACTGGAAAGGAGTTGACAAAGTACCCCCTTGCACATGACTCTCCACATTTACATGGTCTAGGCTTTTAGGATTGCCACTTATGGAGTTTTAAAGCTAGAACTCCTTCAATTCCTGGCCCTTTTCAGTTTTGTGCTCTCAAAACACATGCTTAACAGGTAGCTCACATGAGCCCTTCAGGATGTTGTACTGACAAGGAAGGTGGCATAGAAACATGGGTAAGGGCACCACTAATCCTGTATTTCAGACTGTATTATTATTATTATTCCTCTGGAGTACTTGTATTTCTGGCAAATTCACTGATGTGACACATGAAGTGACTATTGTTATGAAAAAATAAAGTGGTCTGTGCTCTGGATAAGCATGCCAAAGGCACAATATTGTTTCCTTCCATATTGTGGAGTCCCAATCCAAATTGGTCCCCCAGGAACTACTGTGAGCTGCTGATTGTGCCTCCATGGTTTCTGTTCCATAGCTGATAGTGGCTCAGAGTGTGGGGAGAGTTTAGATTGAATCCTGATGTGGAGAAGGGACGGGTAATAATCTGTGTGAGTGATTTGAACTAGATCAACCAGCAGCTGCTTTTAGGAAAAGGAAAATACAGCAAGTGATCCAGTCCCAGAACTACTATGTAACATGTATTGAGAGCTTCAGAGTCACTGTGTACCCATCTCCTTTTGAAAACCATTTCCTTTCATGCACAAATGCATGGAGCCCTGATTCAAATCTGATACGGCCAGATAAAATTGTTTCATGGACTACACCCAGCCTTCCGATGATCAGTTGGCCATCCTGTCACTGTATGTTCCCTAAAACCTTTGGGTGTGCAAGAAATGTAGCTAAATACTGAATCTGCCAATATTTGAAGAAATGTAAGATACTCAAGTGTAAATGCGCAAGATGCACATTTTCCAGAACAGCTAGCAATCCTATAAGCCTGAAGGCACAAATTCATGTAGTTAGATAGCATGCATCTTGTTACATGCACAAACAAAGGGGTGGGGAATGGATATGACACAGTTCCTGCCTCCCCATTACCAGAAGTAGCGCTTGCTCCTGCAATAATTGCTGCTGCAGGATCTCTAACTGCCTCTGTTCTTCTTCTAACTGTCGCCTGATGTACTCCTGGAGAAGCGGGCAGCAGTGAGCAGAGCAAAAGGAGAGAAAAGACAGAACCGTAATTCCAAAGACAAAGCCATGACTACATGAGAAAGAGAATTTCAGAAACACTAAAGAGGTCTAAGATGGAGAACCAGTCCCATTGCAATGTAATCATTTTGCTGAATACCATACAATTTGGAGAAAATCCTACCAAATTCCAGCAGGTAGTTCTGTTTAGGGCTGTGAATATGCTATATTTAAAAAATAAGGAAAAATGTTCTGGGCCACAATTATTCACATTTTGCAAAATGAGGCAACAATATATCATACAACTGAACTTAAACATTTGTGAAAAACTAAACACAATGTAACCAGATCCATTTGAACTGCTGACCAACAGATCTGAAAACATTCTATTCATATTTGTTTGTTTAAAAAGCTGTTGTCTCCAAGCTTGACCGAGTACCTAAGTTCTGTACCAAGTAAAGCTAAGGTTTATCACTAGGTTTTATGGTGCAAATAATTTTTTTTAGTATGGCATTCTCTGTTGTTGCTCATCAAAGTTGACAAGATGCATAGAACAACAATAGATGCAATGACAGATTTCAATTCTCCTCCATTTTGTGGTTGAGATGGCATAATCAAACTTCTTCCCACACTTTCTCCACAGTCAAGTGGCTTAAATTTTTTTTTTTAAAAACCAAGTTGAAAGGTGAAGATTTTAGGATGCAAAATTTGGTAACGGATCCTAAATTCTGTGTTTGGACAAAACAGCAGGATGGAGGTAGCCCTAGTTGTATTAAGAGTGGGAGAAAGACATTTATTTAATGGCTGAATTCCCACAGGATAAAAGAGAAGCAAATCCCAAGTCTGTATACTTTCCCCTTCTTTCTCCCATATATGCACAAGAAAAAGGGACGTTTCTGTTTTGGGTTTAATTTTTTTAAGTTAACTTTTCATTTTGTCTAAACCCAACCATTTTGACCAGAGCTTATATGAAACAAGCCAGCTTCAACAAACCATAGCTAACAGTAACAATACTTTAGGGTGATGTAAAACTAAACTGCAGTTACTTAAAAACAGAAAGCAAAGCTTCTGATTTTCTCCTGTCCAAAGGCAGTCAAAGAGACCATTCTATTTACCAGCCCAATCCAATCCTGAACACATTCCTTAGATAGAGACAGACATCACCAGTACTTTGGCACAGAGATAGTGAGGAAGAAGGGAAGAAGCATATGCACAGCACTCTTCTATTAGTCAGCTAGGAGAATCACATAATGGACAGCACATGAACAAAGCAATTTGCTAGTGAAACAGTATAGCACAAGAAGGGTAGTAAACAAAATGCTTTCTTACATTTCCAAGAGCAAAAGTCATTAAACGTAAAATCCAGCCTTTGGCCTTGGAAAGCAGCTCTCTTTTAGTAAAAAAGCAGATCTGTCCAGGAGCTGATGTAGGTTACCTGCTCATGCTCAGCACGCCTTCTCTCCTCTTCTCGGCGCATTTGCTCCTCATAATGCCGCCGCTGCTCTCTCTCTTGCTGCTTCCTTAACTCCTTCTCCCTCCTTTGCTGCTGTAGGGAAATGAACAAAAAAATCAGGCATTACCTTAGGATGCCTGCCAGTACAGATAGAAGAACACATAAGGACAGGAGGCTGCAGAGCAGGAAGGAGCATCAAAGGTTATTGGCCTGCAGCTCTACCAGGTAAGGCACTAATACCACCACTTCAGCTACAGATCAACCCAATCCAGCTAACCAGATGGAAGATGCATCCTATGTCAATCTGAGGCAAAGGCAGGGCTCAATTCACACTTGATGGCTGGGTAGATTTCAGGCTGAAGAAACCATCTTTTATGTCATGCAAACTGGCTAGATCAGGCATCAAACCAGAATCTCCAACACCGTAATAGCAGCATATCCCAAACAAAGCTTCTAGTTTCAAGGAAAGTAACAAAGATATTTTCTACAGAATTTCAAAGAACTTACACTCATTACATTAATTACATTAGGCCCTAGAACGAAGGTATAAGAAGAAAATATTTCTCCGAAGGGACTGAGAATGCAACATCATCCTGCACAATCACATGGCTTGGTCCACATCCAAAACATGGCAAAAAGTAAACATTTAATTCGGATTGTCAGAGTTAGGGTCTTTGCTCTGGCACTCACTCAAGTAGCAATCATGTTATTCTCACTTGTAGTCCCTGAACCGGAGCCGTTATCCCAAAAGTCCCTTTGAAGAACAAAGACTGAAGGTAGGTGGGAAAGGACAATCTGATTATAACTTGCATCTGAATGCCATCATAAGACATAAGGTGTCCTATAACTATCTTTAAAACTTCCTTATAAGGTAGGCCAGCATCATGATTCCCATAATGCGAAAAGGAAAAATAGCAGAACTAAGGTCACCTAGCGGTTCAAAAGATGCAAACGAGTAAGTTCTCAATTCATAGTTTAGTCTCTTAGTGTCCACACGAGATCATATCACACCAGCTCACCAAAGTTACCGATACTTTTTGAAAGTAAAGTGCATCAACAGTAATACCAAAGCACTATGCAGCACGCATTCAGCATACAAGCGCACATATGCATGCTGACTCTTTCTTGCACTGTAAGGCAGTTTGCTTGCTGGGCAGTGCAGGGAGCTGCTTCCAAAAAAAAAGGCACTTGGAAGCCCTGCTGTGCAGAGAGATTTCACCATTCATCCATCTGGCTGGGAACCAAGCCTTTTCCAGAGCAACCACAACTGGATGCATGTGAAATAATCAGGAACAACCTAAGATTTACAACAGTAGAGAGCAACACACTCTTTATACTGTTACCATGGTGTGATATGAAGTCCTGGTGCAGGTTTTAGAGCTTTCACCCCAAGCCATGTTAATTTTCTCTGGGAAAGAAAAGGCTGTTGGTCCAGTCATTTGAAAGTCAAGCTGCTTTTTGTACATTAGCAACCTCTTTGCAGGGAAATCAATACAGTCTCATAATTACATGCCACTCGGGTCTGCAGTGCAAGGCATTCTCAGTATTGATTGCAACTATGGACGAGACGTGTCTACAATTGGACCTGTGTGTCTTGAAAGAGAAATTAAGATGTGTAAAATCCTTCATTAGTAGTGGCATTAAGCAGTCTGGCCAACATCAGAAACACTGAGAGGTGGCTGGCTGCTTTTTGCTCTCTGCTATTTCAGCTAAAATGTATTTGTTCTACCATATTCAAAACAGGTTTTCACTCCTCTGCTGTATTTTCACAGGCTTCCTAATGCCATATTTGTGCTTCTTTGAAGAATTGACTATCTTTCCAGCAAAATCAGCTTTTACTGCAACATCAGCACTGTTTACTAAACAGTTTTGTAGGGGTTCATGCCGGATTGTCCTGCTGTTGTGAAGATTCTACAACAATCTCACCACTGGATGTACTAGGTCATGATGCAAACCCAATGCAAGAGCCTTCTGTTGGTCCTGGTCTTCAAAAGCAGAATGCTGAAAATATTCTTTTCCCAGACTGTCCTGCTATTTCAGAGTATATCCGCTTACTGTTTTCTCTGTGGCTATACCCTTTGACCACTCTGAGTGCTTATTTGGTTCCATTCTTTACGTGGGGAAGAGCAGCAACCCTTCCCTAGGTAGCTCCTTTCCTTGCTGTATGAAGCTCACCCTCCCCTGTGCTGTGGTTAATGCCAGAAGAGAGATTCCTACTGGTGCTGGTAGGAATTTTTTTCCTACTGCTAATTGTAGCATGGTATGTGTGATTTTTGTTGCAATCCTCTTTGAACACCCACACCCAGCTTTATGTGCTCCTCCTGGAAATTATCTCCCACCCTGATGCTTTGGAAAGAACCTTCTAATGTGCCTCTAGACCATACAATTAATGTAACATGTAGTTAGGCCCTGAATATGCTGAGAAAGAGAAAGGGAGATACAGGAGTGTGTGCTGTGAGAGGTTTGAAATGTATTATAAACCACCAATCTCCCCCCCCCCAACCCCCCTGGCCCCACACGGGCAGAAGCTGTTGATAATAGTTGGGTTCAGACAATGCGGTAACTTACATTCAAGGTTTCAGTATGGGTTATTGTTAAAACATGAGTTACCATAATGCCTGAACCCAACTGTACTAACCAGTCATGATTTGTTAACCATGAGCAACCTATGAAGAAATCCCACGTTTTGTTGTTTGGTTGTGGAATGCGAGTTGTTCACCATGGTTTGTTACCTTGCCTAGGTTGAGGCAGCACAATATCCTGTATTTCAGCAACAGCCCACACTTATCCCATACTTAGCCCGGCGGAGCACATCATCATGTGGTCAGAACCCAGTTACGGTCTTTTTGCCCTTTCACAGGAAATGCACCTGGACATGTCATTTGTGTATTTTGTATAAGTGCTTAGTTTTTCATATGGACCACCAATGATGATAAGGATGATAATACAACACACATGAACAGGCATAGTTGCTCCACCCATCACCAAAATCCCATGCAGAATAAACACACAGATATGTAAGCATTTGTGTGAAAATCATGTACATAAAATCGTGTCATTTTTGTATCCTTAAACTTCTGTTTTTCAAAACACTCAGATAACTGTGGGAACTGCATCAATACAGAAAAATGTTAGGGTGGAGTGAGGCTCAGTTAATATCCTACTGATGCAGTGTAATTGCTGCTGGAAAACATCTTCCTTGCAGGCTGCGCATCACACTGCATCAACTGTGTAGGTAAGCACCAATACTGTCGATTTCCTGGGTTGCTCAGCTACTTCTCATGCCAATTCCAGTGAACAAACATGGAAATGACACTGGCGTGGGAAGTAAACATGCTATCTGAGAGGGCGCACTTGAGTTGAGGGGGAACATGTGGCTACAGAACTGGACTCAAGGAGTGCTCATCAATGGCATCTTCTCAAACTGGAGTGAGGTAACAAGTGAGGAACTGCAGGATTCAGTCCTGGGTCCCGTGCTCCTCAATATTTTTTATTAATCATTTGGATGAGGAAGTACAGGGAATGATTAACATATTTGCAGATGACACAAAACTGGGTGGGACAACTAATACCCTGGATGATAGAAACAAGATTCAGAACTGAAAACAACAGAATGAAATTCAAAAGGGGCAAATGCCAACTTCTGCACCTAGGAAAAAGAAGCAAATGCCTTGTTACAAGATGGAGAATACTTGGCTGAACGACAGTGCAAGTGAGAAGGATCTGGAATTCTTGTAGATCACAAGCTGACTGTGAATCAACGATAAGATGTGGCTGCAAAAAGGGCAAATGCTATTTTAGGCTGGGTTAGTAGAAGTATCACTTCCAAATCATGTAAAGTATTAGTCCCCCTTTGCTCAGCACTGGTTGGGCCTCATCTGAAGTACTGTGTCCAGTTCTGAACACCACAGTGGAAGAAAGATGTAGACAAGCTAGAAAGGGTTTAGGGGTGGACCACAAGGATGATCCAGGGATGGGAGACAAAACACTATGAGGACAGATTGAAAGAACTGGGCATGCTTAGCCTTGAAAAGAGAAGACTGAAGGGAGAGATGATATCACTCTACAAAAACTTGAAAGGCTGTCACAGAGAGGAAGGCCAGGATCTCTTCTTGATCATCTCAGAGTACAGGACATAGAACAGTGGGCTGAAGTTACAGGAAGCCAGGTTCCACCTGGATATCTGGAAAAACTTTCTGACTGTTAGAGCAGTATAACAACAGAACCAATGACCTAAGGAGGTTGTAGGCTCTCCCACACTAGAGGCATTGGGCATGCAACTGGACAGCCATCTGACAGGAATGATTTAAGTCGGCCCTGATGGCCCTCTGGCCCCTTCTAGCTCTACTGTTTTATGATTCTATGATTTCTATATGCATGTTATTAAGGCTTATATCAAAAATATGCACACACCAGAACTAGCTGCTTTATATGGAATCTATATAAATTAATGAATGGTTTTGCAGGTATTATGATACATTGGTCACCAGATGGCAGTAGTGCGGGAACACGGAGACAGACACACAGATGTTCCGCTTTACAGGATTATCCTTATCACTGAATTTCAAACTCTTGCTGAAACACTAGTTACTAATGGCATAAGTTCACATAATACTCAACTTTTACGGTGTGTGCTATTAAATGAGAATTATTAATCCTCTACTAACATCTCTTAATTGCAGTATTTTCTTCTTCCTTCCACAGTGCTACTTTCCCTCCTCTATTTCCTTCCTTGATTTTCTCAATCCCCTCCAAATGGAAATTCTCTTTGGGTATCATCCTCCATCAGTGCAATCCCTTCAAAATTGCAGCAACAAGAGTGTGTTTAGCTTGTACAAGGGAATGCAAGTGTTGACTCCTTAAGAAACATACTTTGGGGAGGAAGAGGGGATGTGCTTTGATTGACCCACAAATTTCTTGCACTCCAAAAATCCTGTTCTGAATATCCCATCCCATTCTAGTAAGACCAAGAAGCAGAACCCTGGATGGGGCTAAGCTGTTAATATTAATCTAGATCAGTGGTGGCGAACCTATGGCACATGTGCCACAGCAGCACACAGAGCCCTCCAAGTCGCCCCAGCATCGCCCCAGCA